TGTTGTTGCTGCTGCTGCTGCTGTTGTTGTTGTTGTTGCTGTTGTTCTTGTTTGTTGTGGTTCTTTGTTCGTTGCTTTTTGCCTTTGCTCTTGCTCTTGCTCTTGTTGTGCTTCTTGTTGTTGCTGTTCTGATCGTTATTGTTGTTGTTCTTGTCGATTATGCTATTTTCGACCCCTGGGAACCCTCGACGGGCTTTGGGACCGTCACAAAAACAACTCAGGATGAAAGACCAGCCCTGGCGAAAGGGCCGGGACTCCTGGGGACCCTTGATTTGAAAATTCAAGAAGTCCGATGCCTGCGCGCATATCCCTTGCCCAGGCCTGGCCCATCCTGGCCAGGCCTGGGCAAGGGCATGCATCCCTGGCCAAGCCAAGAGGGCGTAGCCAGGACGGGCCAGGCCCAGGGCAGTGGATACGTATAGACCCCGCCTCCCTACCATAATGGACCTGGCCGGCATGGCCTGGAAGCCCCACCCGCGCAGCATCCAGCTCCTCCTCGAGCAGGTCTCCATTCGGCGACGTGTAAGAGTGACACTTCGCCGGAGTGATCTCTGGTGCGGGTCCACTGGGCCCCGCCAGCATTGGCCTGCGCGCGCGCGCGGATTTGGTCCCCGCGCGACCCCCCGGAGCCGCACACCGAGGGTCACTCCTTGCCTGGGGTCACTCTTGCGTGCAGCCGATCCATCGGCGCCCGCTACTACCCCGAGACGCTGGGGCTGCACATCTTCCTCAACGCGCCGTGGGCCTTCTCCGCCGTCTGGCGGGTGATCCGCCCCGCGCTGGATCCGACCACCGCCTCTAAGATGCGCGTCCTCGGCACCGACTATCGGGAGGAGCTCCTGAGGCACATTTCCGAGGCGGGGATTTCAGCCCCTGAGTTTTTTTGTTCACAGCGGGCGTCTTCGCTTGGTTTTGGGCCCCTGGACCCTCACAGATCGATCTGGCCCGACAACTGCTGCAGATGGATGGGGTCTAGAGCTCAGGTCGTGATTTTACGTGATGTTGTAATGTTTTTCGCAACGTCGGATCTCAGGGACCTCACACCGTCTGGGGATCGATCTCCAGGGACCTCGGCAGGCGGTGCGCATGGATGTATTCGACCCTTCCCCTGGGGCCCGAACATGTCCATACCCACTGCCACCTGGTCTCCCCGGACTTCGGTTACTCAGGCGGTGGATCTGGTCAGGAACTTCGGCTTAGCGTGTCGCGCCGCCTGTTCTGGCCTACCGCGCTTTGGTGCGACACGCTATCCACGCCCCCAGTCCAAGGGGTCAAAGTCTTGAGCCTTTCCCATCCCCCCGCCCCGCGAATCTGAGCGACACGCCAATTAGCCTCGTCTAAGGCATGGCGTGTCGCCTGTGTCGCCGCCGTGACACGCTAAGCACAAGCTCCTGACCGTTCATGGACAGATCCCCGTCTCGCACGCATCGAGCCGGGGCAGCTGCCCAGGGAGCTCGGGGGCACCAACGGCTTCGGCGTGCTGTGGGCGCCCCTGGGCTCGGGCGAGCTGCAGCAGCTCCTCGACCGCCACCGCGCGGCGTACGCCGAGGGCGTCGCGTGCGCGGGCGGCGTCGCGAGGGCGCGGGGGCCCAAAGGCGGCGCCGCGGCTTCCCGGGGAGGCGTGGCCCCGCCGTCGGCGCTGGGCGCGGGCGCCCCCGCGGCGGGCTTGGCGCGCCTCTTCGCCGTCGCCCTCGCGGCGCTGGCGTGCGCGTGCTGGCTCCTCGCGGCGCTCTGCTGACGGGGTGCCGCGGCGCCGCGCGGCGCGCCCTGCCCGCCGCTGCGAGCGCTGCGCTGCCCGCCGCCGCGTGCAGCGTTCGCGCCCCGCGCGGGCGCAGCTGCGCGCGCCGCGGTGGCTGCGCGCAAGCTGTCCCTCCCTCCCCTCCCTCTCTCCTGCACGCAGCGGGGCAACAAGTTGCTGTGATGTGGAGCGGTGCTCGCGGGCAGGGCGGCTGTCGTCGCCTGGGTGCTGCGATGCGGGGGGGAAGCCTTCCTCCCTCCCTACCTGTCTGCTCCTGTCCGTGGTCGCCTGCTCTGGTGCACTGGGTGCAGAAGGTCTGAGCCGCGGCCAGGCGTGGGGAAGTTCGTGCGATCCCACGAGTCACAATGTCATACGCCCGATGCCGTGGGGCGGGCCGAGGCGGAAGAACATGTTGTCAGCAGTCTAAGTATGGAGTTTCCTGAGGTGTGTCTGTCAGGCCGGCTCGCAGATCAACTGGCCACCGAGCAGTTTCTAATCATTCGCAGCCACTGTGTTGTCAACGCAAGCCCAGTGAGTGCTTGTGCTGCCGTCTCCGCCGGCCTCCCTCCCCTCGCTCCCCATCGCCGACCCTTCCCTCCATGGATGTTTTTTTTTGTTGGGTGGTGGTGGACCGTCTGATGTCATCGCTCGCTGGAGACGTCTCTATCCTCTACAGAGATTAGGCTTGTTCTCAAGTGGGGAAATGACTCCCTGCATCGGGCCACATCGATTTCAGGGACGTGAATGGCAACAAATGGGCGATGCAGGAAAACGGGGTCGACTGCGAAAAAATTGGTGCGTAAGTTGCCAGCGCAAGTTCGCGCGGAAGCGCCCTCTTCTCCGCGCGGCGTGCCGCGTAAGTGTCGGCGTAATTAAGGTCGCTATGTCGTCTCGCGTGAGACTCGTGTCGTTTCGTCGCTCAAATGCTTCTCTTCCTCACCTCTCTTCCGCGCTGCGCTCGTTGCTGCAGTTTTTTCGGCGACCAGCGCAGCTGGGCGGGTTGCGGGCAGTGCCGCCCATGTGTGGTCCCTCCCCCTCTTCTCCCTCTCTCTCTCTCTTTCTCTCTGTTTCTCTCTCTCTCTTTCTGTATCTCTCTCTCTGTCGTTCTCTCCTTTTCTCTCCCTCCCACTCCCCTCTCGCACTCGCACATCTTGTTTTGTGTCTCTCTCTCTCTCTTTCTCTTCTCGCTCCATGCCAGCAGGGGTGCCATCCTCAACGGTCCGCCGTTGCTGAGCCGTATCGTGCGACATCCATCGGAGCGTCCGTGCTGTGCTGCTCCCTCCACAGGGCCGACGCGCTGGGGGGACCTCGTGGCCAGCACGGGGCGGGAGTGCCCCTCGCGGCTGCCTCTGCTCGGACGGGTGCCGCCTCCGCCGGGGGGCGCGCCGTCCCTTGGGCGCTGCGGCCCAGAGGAGGCGGCCAGGCCCGCTCGCGTGCCTGCGCGCTCGCGTCCTCCCAGGCGTGCGTGCTTCGCTGGTGAGCGCCTGCGTGCTCGCGTGCGCCTGCGTGCCTGCGTGCTCGAGTGCTTGCGTGCTCGCCTGCCTGCGCGCTCTGCGTGTGCACTGCTGTGTTCCGAGACGCCCTTTCTGGCACGCCTGCAAGCCTGCGGGTCTTCCAGGACATCCGGGTCCGCTGGAGCGTGCTGGCACGTTGGCATGCCAGCACGCCTGCTCGAGGCCGTTTCCGGCTCGTCGCATCCCCCCTCGGCCTCCTGGTTGGCCCAGTTTCCCTGCGCCGTCTTTGGCTGGCCCAGGGCGCGAAGCCCTCCCCGCCTTCGGTGGCGCCCCCCTCTCTGCCCCTCGAGGGCCGAGGTGGCTTGGGAGTTGGCGGGGGGGGACAGGAATCTCGGGGTGGCGGGTCTTTCTCTCCTTTCCTCCCTCGCTTCGCTCCCATGCACGCTGTGCTTCGCAAAACGTCCAAAGACGTCCGTCTTTGGCTGGCTGCCGCTGGGGCCGCGGGGGGGGTGCCCTCGGCGCAGGCCCCGCCCGCTCGCCAGAGAGGGCCCCCCCCCGCGGAAGAGGCCCACCGCGCCCAACAGGCCGTGCCCAACGGGGTGGCGGGGCGCTTCACGCCAGAAGCTTGCCAGGCACTGCTTGGCGGCAGGGCCTCCGTTCCCAGTATTCCCACTATATATATACATATATATGGGTAGAAAGTGGTACGTATGCATTTGCATACACGCACATGTGTACATGCACACACGCATGCACACATACATCCATACACACATACATACATGGATGCATGCACACGTACATTTACACACCTACATACACATACATGCATACAGGCATGCATACACGTACACATACATATACATGCACATGCATACACATAACACATACATCCACATACATATGCATGTAAACAAACATGCACGCATGCATGAACGCATACATACATGCATGCATACATGCACATGCACACATGCATACTTACGCACATGCATACACATACAAGCATACATACATACATACACACATACACATACATACCTACATACATACACACGTACATCACACACATCCATCCATCCATTCATCCATCCATCCATCCATCCATACATACACACATCTATACATATAAAAAAACACATACTTATTTCTATACAAACATACGTACACACATGCATACATACATACACGCATACATACATACACACATAAATCCATCCACACATACACATACATACATACATGCATGCATGCATGCATGCATGCATGCATGCATCCATCCATCCATCCATTCATCCATCCATATATACATATATACACATACACACATACATACATGTGTACGTATATATTGATATGCATACACACATATATAAATATGTATACATCTAGAATATTTGTTCAATCTTGCCGGTTTCGGCCTCTGGGGCCCGGAATCGTGCGCAGAGCCATCCGAAATGGATCCGGGACGAAAGTCTACCGCCGAGGAGGGGTCGGGAGTTTTGGGGCCGCGGATCGAAGCATCCGATCGGCAGAGGTCGGCTTTGGGCTCTGGGGCCATCGGGTGCTGCTGGCGCATGAGACCGTTTTCTTATTCATTGTTTTGCCGATCGGCGCGGGCCCTTGCACCCCCCCCCTCCCTCTCTCTCCCCCCTCCCATGGAGTAGATCTTGGCTGTTTTTGGCGCTTGTTTCAAGGACGCACTGCCGCAAACAGTCGCACTAAGCAGGGGGTCCGGAGCCAAACCTCCCCCTCTCCTCCCCTTCCGCCCAATGTTGAAACGCCGAATCAGAAAACGTCGCGACCACAGCCAGGCTCAGGCAGGGGGCAGGGGTGGCTCGAAGCCCTGGGCCCGGTGGCCGAGGTATAGTTGGCGGGTGGCCACGGGCCGCAGGCTGCACGTATTCGCGAGGGGGAGATGAACTTCTACACGATCACAGCGCTGTATGCGGTCTTCGGCGGGCTCGGCATCGGCATTTTTCTGTGGGGCAAGCCCGATGGCAACTCAATGTTTGACCGCCTATACCGGCTGATCTGCCAGCAGCTTCCCGCGGGCATCAAGAGGGCGTTGGAGAAGTGCTGTGGTAAGCGAGCGCCCGCCTTTCTCGACTGGCTCTGGAATTACGTCTGCTACACCAGCAACCCCATAGTACAGGTGTTCTACCTCTGTGTGATCGTCGGCGGCTTCCTCACTTTCGTGACCTATGGCTTCCCGCACTTGCCGAACAGGCTCGTTGGGAGCGTCCACAAGTACACCGGCTTCGCCGTGTTTGTCGTCTGTCTGTCCGTGTGGTGGAAGGCCTGCAGCACGGACCCAGGCACGGTCACGCCGCTCAACGTGGACGACCTCTGCAAGATCCACGAGTGGGACGACGTTATTTTCACCAATATGCAGTGCAAGACCTGCGACATCGTGAAACCTGCGAGGTCAAAGCACTGCGGGCTGTGCAACGTTTGCGTGGCGAGGTTTGACCACCACTGCATCTGGCTGAACAACTGCGTCGGGGTCGGCAACCATAAATGGTTCCTCTCGTTCCTTTTCTGGCACTTGGTATTGTGCCTCTATGGATTCAGCCTTGGCACTGTCTTGATATATAACGTGATAGTGGAGAAGGACCTCCAGAACGCTGTATTTGTCGACCCCCTGACACGGCAGAAACACAAAGCCACCTGGTCAATCATTGGCCAGTACATGCTCGCTTCTGAGGGTATGATCATTTTTGTTAGCTTGCTTGCCCTAGTCATGGGCTTGGTGCTGTTCGGTTTCTTCTTGTGGCACTTGAACCTCGTTCGCACTGGGATGACGACGAACGAGCTGTCAAAGTGGAACTACGTGAAGTGGTCCCTGAGGCAAGAGGGCGAGCAGGGCAAAGAAGAGCTCAAGAAGTTGGTGAACCCATACAACTTGGGCATGGTCGCCAACTTCAAGGAGGTCTTCTTCAATATAGACGTGCACAGAATGCCGGGCAGGGCTGGGAGGAAGGACCAGGCGCAAGCCAAGCCGCGCGACAAGAAAAAGGCCAAGAAGTCGTGAGCCACGCGACGGCCAGTCATGCTCGCAGCGGCAGTCTCGAGCGGCAGCGACTTAGGCTATTGGCCCTTCTTCCCTCCGTACCCCATCCCTTCAGGAGCCAGCAGAGATTTTTTTTTATCCTGTGGCGTGTGACGGTCGTTCCCCGGGCCAAGCCCCTCCCCCCTGCCCAGGTAACGGTAACGATCATACGTAGAGGGGGGGGGGGCTGGTTTGGACCCCCCTCCACATGCTGGTGCTCGCGCGCATGCTATGTCGATGGCATCGCACCGCCGCCCCGACGTGCCCCACCCCGCCCAGGCGTTACCGTTACCTGAGGCGCCAAGCCTCCTTCCCCAGTAACGACCGTTCCCAGAAATAGTTCAACGAGGACCCAACACCACAGGGTGGTTGGGAAACAGCAAAGCTTACTCCAGATTTCGTAATAAAGGGAGGGGGGTCTCATTTCGGGGGGGGGTCTCTTCCAGGCTATCTTGGAGGGCCTGGGGGGTCTGGGGACGATGTTTTGGAGGGTTCTCCCACGGGGGAGGTCTGAAATGGCTTGTCTTGGAGGGTCCAGACCCCCTCCCTTTTATTGCGAAATCTGGAGTATGAGTACATGCGCTCGTTGTGGGTCTCGAGACCGCGCGTTGCGCAGGCGTTCGTGGCACGAGGCTGGCCTCGCGGAGCGGGGGGCTGTGTTCGTGTACGTGGCTGGGCGCGCACTTTTTTTGTCTACCTCCCTGCCCCTCTCCTCCCTCCCTCCCCGCCCTCCTCCTCAGTCTCGCCATCCCCATCGGAGTTTTCTCCGGATCACTCGTGGCCGTCGCCGTGGAAAAGCCGTCCGTCCGTCTCTCCATCTCCCCCCCCCTCCCCAGAGCTGACCGGGTGGCCCGTGCCTGCTCATCTTGGAAGCGGGTCCTGGAGGCACAGGGTCCTGGCGAGTCGTGGCATCTTGCGGCAGTGCCCTCCGTGGCGGTGGCAAGACTCGAAGGACGACGACGAGGTCGCGGGCGCAGAGCGGGGAACGAACGACGAGGCGACATGAGAGAGGGCACTTAGGTATCCTCTCCTCCCCCTCTCCCTTCTTCTTCCTCGTCCTCCGCCTCGTCTCAGTCTTGCACGTCGTCGTTGTACGCTGTGCTCGTCTCAGTCTCGTACCTGCCCTTCCCCTTTCCCTTTCTCCTCCAGCCTCTGCCTCCCTGGTTTTCCCTCCCTCCCTCCCTTCCCCTCCTGTGGCCGCTCGCTCATGATCGCGCTCCTTCTCGGTCTTTCAGCTCCTCCTCCGCCTCGTCGTCGTTTGCGTCGTCCTCGTTGTCTTCTTCCTCCTCCTCCTCCTCCTCCTCCTCCTCCTCCTCCCGTCTTCACTCCTCTACCCCTGCTCCCCTCCTCCTGCTGCCCCACTCGTCATCGTCATCGCCATCGTCATCGCCATCCTCATCGTCCTCGTCCTCGTCATCGTCATCGTCATCGTCATCGTCATCTTCGTCCGTAGCCACCCTGTTTCAGGCATGGCTCCAGCCCCCAGACCCCGCGGCCGAGCATAGCGCTGGCGTGCCCGCTGGCCGTGGAGCGCCCGCTCGGCTCGCACGTGCCCGTGCGGCGGGGATGAACTTCTACACGCTCGCGGCGATATACTCGGCGCTCGGCGGCCTGGGCCTCGGCGCCTTCCTGTGGGGCACGCCCGGGGGCGACTCCCTGTTCGACCGTCTGTACCGGCTGCTCTGCCAGCACCTCCCCTCGGCCACCCGGGGGGCGCTGCAGAGCTGCTGCGGCAGGAGGGCGCCCGCGGCCCTGGACCGGCTGCTGGGCTGCGGCTGCTGCGCCAGCAGCCCCGCAGTGCAGGGGCTCTACCTCTGCGTGGCCGCCGGCTGCTTCGGCACCTTCGTGGCCTACGTCTTCCCGCGCCTGCCGACCAGGTTCGTCGGGAGCGTCCACATGTACGTCTGCTTTGCCGGATTCTTTGTCTGCCTCGCCGTTTGGTGGAAGGCTCGCAGGAGCCGCAAGTGGTTCTTCTGCTTCCTTTTCTGTCACTCGGTGTTCTGCCTGTATGGATTCGGTCTGGGCGCTGCGGTGATATATCTGGCTGCCTCCGGCAATTCCGTCACCGTGCCAGCGCAGCATTCAGAGTGGCAACTATTCGAGAAGGCACGGGGGCCTGCTGTGGGCCTCTTGGGGCAGAAGGCTCGAATTCTTGTTTCGTGTTCCCACTGTTGGGCCCTTCTTGGGGCCGTCATGGGGCTCTCTTGAGCATTCTTGGGCGCCTTTAGGGTCGTACTGGAGCCCTCTCGGGCCGTTTTGGAGCTCTGTTGGGGGCCACTTGAGCGATCTCAGGGGAATCTTGGGAGCCTCTTGGGCCGTCTTGGAGCGTCGGAAGCTCGAAGGGGCGAGAACCCCAAGAACATTGAAAAAACCATAGGCAATCAATGTTTTTTGCTTCTTGGGGCCCTCTTGGGAGCCCCTTGGGGGCTTCTTTTTGCCCTCCGGGGGCCTCCTGGGGCGGGAGGCTCGAATTGTCGGTTCGTGTCCACTCATTTGGGCCCTTCTTGGGGCCGTCTTGGGTCCCTCTTGGGCATTCTTGGGCGCCTCTTGGGCCGTGTTGGAGCCCTCTTGGGCCGTCTTGTGTCCTTCTGGGGGAGCCTGTGGGGCCGTCTTGGGGCAGTCGTGGTGGCCTCTTGGATCGTTTTGGAACGTCAGAAGCTCGGCAAGGCGAGAACCTGAAAAACATCGAATTACATTACGGGAATCCATGGTTTTGCCTCTCGAAGCCCTCTTGGGAAGGTTCTTTGGACTGTCTTGTGACACCTCGAAGGCCTTGTGGGCCGTGATGAAGCCATCTGGGGCAGTCTTGAGGTCAAGGTGGCCCTTTTTGGAGCGATCCTGGGCCATCTTTGGAGCATCTGGGCCTCGGCAGCGTGAATCTGTTGTGTGCTGCGAGGGGTTGGCTCCGGGAAGAGGGGGCGGTGCATGCGGCTGGGGTCGGCCCGAGGTGGGGGTGGCCCTGAGAAAATTTCAGAAACCGTACCGGACAGCACCAGGCATTCTAGCACGCCCGAACGTGCCAGGGGGCACGGTGGCGGATAACGTTATCGTAGACAAGAACCTCCAGAACGCTGTATTTGTTGACACTGTGAAACGGAAAAAACTCAAAGCTTCTTTCTCGACGATCGGCCAGTACATGCTCGCTGAGGAGAGTATGATCGTTTTTATCGGAGACGCCTACGGCAAGTCACCGCTGCCCACTGCCTTCTGGAAACGCCGTGGTGAAATGTCGAAAGGAATTGCGGCCATGCTTGTGGACTGCACGTTTCCCCAACCGTGGGGGACACAGCCGGGAGAATATTGGAGAGGGGCTCTTTGGGGTCAACTTGAGGCTCTCCTGGGGCTCTTTTCGCTTCTTTTGGTCCTACTTAGGGGCTGGGGCTTTCTTGGACCATCTTGTGGTTCCTTTGGGCTCTCCCAGGATGCTCTCGGGCCCTCCTGGCGCATTCGGACAACGTCTTGGGGGCCTACCTTGGCCGTCTTAAGGGACCTCTTGGGTTTTTTTTTGAGGGCCGTGTTCGGACTCTCTTGGGCCGTCTTGGGGTTGTCCTGGGGCCGTCTTGGGGCCCTCTTCGGGGCCTCGCGGGTCGTCTTGGGGACGTCTTGGGCTTTCGGAAGCCCGAATGCGAGAATGCGACAATTAGTTTGAATTTTCATGCGCATCCATAATTTAGGCCTCCTGGTGACCTTCTGGAGGTCCTCTTGGAGCAGATGTGAGCGTCTTGGGAGCCTCCTGGGCCGTATTCAGGACGTCTCGGGCCGTCTTGGGTCCATTTTGGGCAGTGGAGGCATCTCGGGGCCATCTTGGGCGCTCTGGGACCAGCTTGGTCGTCTTGGAGGCGTCTTGGGACCATCTTGGAGGCAGTCTTGGGCCATCTTGGCCAGTTTGAAGGCTGGTTCTGTTGGTTTTAGGGTCCGCCCGCGTGGCTGGCGGGATGCGGCGAAGGCCACTGGAAAAAAGAAATCGAATATTTGGCACACCGAGCACCCCTTTGCAAGCAACGGGGGCGACGGATGTAGTGGCCTTCGGCCCATCCCGCCACCGTGCCTCGGTCGTAGCTGAGGGGCCTCTTAGATGCTTCCTGGGATCACCGAGGAGGCGTCTTGGCTGCCTCGTTGAAGCATCTTGGGTGCCTCTTGGGGGAGCGACCTCGGTGGCCTCTCGAGCGGCCCTGGGGTCTCTTAAGATTGAAGAGGCGAGAAATCTAACATAATACAGGCGCGCGTTTTCGTATAATTCCGATTTTCGCCTGTTGGGCTTGTCCGCAGGGCCTCCAAGATGACCCAAGATACCCTCACGAGGGCTCCAGAACCGGCCCTGAGACCATCTTTAACTATGTCGGAAGTGCGGCTTCCAAGCCTCGATCCCAAGGGCCAGGGAAAAGTCACGCGACGTAGCTCGAGAGAGCACGGGCATTTCGGAAATCCGTGGCATGCCGCCCGGGCAAGTATTTGCAATATCCAGTCACAATGCTCAATCCAGGGAACTCGGAGGGACCTGATGATATTCCGCCTCGTGCATCGCGGCACGCTTACGGATAAGTTTGCTCTCCCTGATCATGAGCCTCGTGCTGTTCGTGTTCTTCGTGCGGCACCTGAGTCTTGCTGGCAACATCGCTGCAGGGGAGGATGAGAAAACGGAAGAGCAAGCGCAGGTCAAACCGCGCGACAAAAAAAAAGCCAAGAAGTCGTGAGCCGAATGCTGGCATTCACGCAGAGGTACCGGAGGCACGTTTTGGCGGCAGTTGCAGCAGCGTATCTGCCTCTGGCCAGCACCGCCCTTCTGTCGACGCCGCTGCGTGTTACGTAGTACCCCGCAAGTGCGGATAAGAGTGCGGGGGTGGGCGCGGGAAGGGTCGCGGGTGGGTCTTGGGTGGGTCGAGGGTGGGTCGCGGGGTGCGTCGCGGGGTGGGTCGCGGGGTGGGTCGCGGGTGGGTCGCGGGGGGTCGCGGGAGGGGGGGGGCGACGACGGCCACAGCAGCAACAACACCTCCAACAACCCCAATCCACCAAAAACAACACCAGCAACACCAACAATACCACCACCAGCAACAGTACCAACAACAGCAACCACAGCAAACAAACATAATCAGGGCCACGGAGTCCCTTTTCACCCACGCACGCAGGGATGGTGTAAGACTGTTCGTCTCCCTCACTGTCATAAGCACGCTTCTGAGTGCCACTCAGGCAGACTCGCAGCTTTGCGGGGCAGCCGAAAATGTATCCTGATCGTTCTCCTCGCTCCTGCCTCTTTCTTGCCTCGGCCTGGTCTGGCCTTCCGTCGCCAGGGCGAGCTCACTGCCACCCAGCTAACAGATATGGTGCTCTCGAGGTGAGGGCGTCTAGATTTCTTGCTACATCTCAGTGGGCTCAGACCCTGGGCAAGAGAAGGCGCCTGCTGGCCACACTTTGGAACTTGCCAATGGAGGGTCCGATTTCTTGTCGAACCGAAGACGCTTCCGATAAGTTACCGCCGCCCCCTGCCATTCGGCAGCTTATTTGGTAGAGCATTGGGGCAAAGTTTGGCTAAGGTGTGTGGCAATGTGTCCCACCAGCCGTTGCAGAAGTCACTTGGGGAGCACTGTAAGCCACTATTATGTAACTTTGCGTCCACTGAGGCCCGCTCATGAGCTTCTGGGACCTGCAGGGACCGTCTTCGAGATCCCCAGGGATGTCTTGGCGGCTTCGGAGGCCAAATTGGAAGCGTCGTGAGGCCTCGTGATGTCATCTGTAGGCCTCCTAGGGCGCTCTTGGCCCCCCTTGGGCCCCCGTGGAACCTCTTGAGAGACTCTTGCGGTCCTCTCAGGGCTCCCATGGTGTGCTGGTTGGGGCGTCGGGGCACTCTTGGACCCCTTCTTGGGCCCCTTTCGAGACCTTCTCGGGTAATCTTAGATGCGGTTCTGAAGCTTCCTGGACGGTGCACGACTTCAGGCCCTTCCATGCCGTCGGCCTCTCGGGGGCTCCTTGGGAGGCTCTG